TCTTAAGTATATAATTCAGTGGCATTAATCGCACTCACAATGTGTAGCCATCCTCACTATTGCCTCACTTTTTCATCACCCCAAAGAGGAACTGTCCCCACTAAACAATGATCCCCATTCTGCCCTCCTCTCCGGTCCTGAGAACCTCTGACCAATTCAATGTCTCTGTGAATTTGCCTTCTGGATATTTCATATGACAGAATCTTGCACTACTGATCCCTTTAATCTGTCTTAATTCACTTAGCATCATGTGTTCAAGAATCATTCATAGCTGTAGCACGCATCAGAATGTCATTCCTTTTTGTGGAACATTACTCCATAAAAAGGACTAATATTACATAAAATGGATACTATTCCATTTTGTGTAAATGCCACATTTAGTTATCCATTTATCTGCTTTTTATACCATTTTATTTATTTATTCATTTATTTACTTTTAGAGAGGGGGAAGGGAGGGAGAAAAAGAGGGAGAGAAACATCAATGTGGGACAGAGACATCCATCGGTTGCCTTTTGCATGCCCTCACCTGGGGACCTGGCCCACCACCCAGGCATGTTCCCTCACTGGGAATTGAACTGGCAACCCTTCATTTCACAGGTAGGTGATCAATCCACTGAGACACACCAGCCAGGGCTCGTCATCCATTCGTCTGCTGACGGACACTTGGGTTACTGCCACCTTGTAGCTATTGTGGATAACGCTTCTATGAGTGTCGGTACGCAATGCTCCCTGTTCGCACTTCTTTGGGGTTCACTCTACGTTGACCTCAAACAGTTACACGATTTTACATTCCCACCAACAATGTACAAGGGTTCCACCTTCTCTATGTCATCACCGACATCTGTTATCTTCTGCTTTTTTGATTACAGCCACCGTCGTGGGAGGTGGTTTCTCACGGTGGTTTAATTTGCATTTTCCTGATGAGTAATTACATGGAGCAGGTTTTCAGGAGCTTGCTGGCCATTTGTATATCTTCTCTGGAGAAATGTCTATTGTCATTCTTTGCCACTTTTTAATAGGGTGTTTCTCTTTTTGTTGTTGCGCTGTAGGAGTTCCTTATATATTCTAGATGTTGAACCTTTATCGTATATATGGTTTGCAAATACTGTCTTCCATCCTGTAGGCTGGCTTTTCACTTTCCTGATGAACGTCGTTAGAGGAACAACTGCTCTTCATGTTGACGAAGTTAATTGGTCAATTTGTACTCTGGTGGCTTGTGCTTTCGGTGTCACACTGCGTATTTTACGTTTGGCAAAGGTCCCTCTGGTTTCCGGGGGGGGGGGGGACAGGAGGGAGGGACCCAGGTGGCTGCAGGAAGACCATGGAGGCTACTGTGGTCGCTGCCCAGGGGGTGAGGATGGAGGCTGGGAGGACGTGAGGAAGGTGGAGGGGGAGAGAAATGCAGATTAGAGAGAGGTGGGGTGGGGTGCGGGCGTGGGTTTAGAGGCTCCGGGGGAATTCGGGGAGAATTTACAGGTTTCTGGCCTGGGCGCCGGGACGGATGGTCGGTGGACGGCGAGGCAGGCAGGACGAGGAGGGCAGGCTCGGGGTTCCATTAGCACGACGAACACCAGTTGGCCATCCCTGGTCTGGCCCACGCTCTCCATCTCACAGATGGGGAAAGCGAGGTCTCAGGAAGCGCAGGGGCTCCCCGTGACCCAGATCACCCAACACACCCGGGACTGAGGGCGGTGGCACTCCGGGAGCCCGGCCACCCAGCTGGAGCACTTACTCTCCATGGAGCCATGCGCTCTGGCCTCAGAGAGCTATTTTTCAGCTGAGAGAGGGTGGGGTTTCAAGCCAGATGAGTTTGTCCCGGGCTGGCAGCCAGGTCACAGCCCCCAGAGGACAGAACAGCTCTGTTTCCTGAGGGCAGCCTGTGCCTTGACCCCGGCCAGCTGCCCCGTCTGGGTCTGGTGTGGGCAGCTCAAGGGTAGAAGGGTGTGGGGCGCCCACCTTGGAGTGGCTGACGGGACAGAGGCTCCTCCCCTCCGCTGGGTTTAGCGTGAATTAGGTCCAGGTCCAGATTCTGAGGTTTCCTCTCTTCCAGCCCTTTCTTGCCATGTGACCTTGAGCAAGCCTCCTCCCCTCTCCAGTCTTTAGCCTTGTCATCTTTAAAACGAGGACATCCTGGAGAATGACTTTTGCGCCTCTCAAAGCTGTAGTGAGTCTCAGGTGAGCAAACGGATGGACAAAAAAAGTGCTTTGAAAACTGTAAAGCGCTTAAACTTCTATTTGGGTCCAGTCTTGCTTGTGCCCCACGCCACTGCCCAGTGGACTCCCAAGGCCACCCCTCTGGAGAACAAAAGAGGCCTGGTGTGGAGCTTGGGGACCCAGCGCTCCTATTAACCTGACCCGGCAGGCTTGACCAACCCATTGGACAGAGGGGAAAACTGAGGCACAGCCATCTGCTCAGAGTCGCCAGGCTGTTAAGCCTGGATTCAAAGGCAGGGCTCTCTGAGTCCAAAGATGAGAAAGGTCTTCGTCTGTCCGATGTCCCCATCGGACAGACAGAGTCAGTTGAGAGCCAGGGAGGGAAGCAACGTGCCTGCGACCACACAGGGGGTCGGCCACCAGGCAGAAGAAGCAGCACGGGAGGTCCCTGCCTCCCGGGCCGTGCTGCTCCCACCACCTGCGCCCACCAGCTCCGAGACTTACACGGGGGCTCCCATCGCAGTGGGACATTCGCCGTCCCTGGCAGGCTTGGGGTTCCCTGTCAGCCCATCTTCTTCCTGCCAGAACAGGCTGCAGACTTTCTCAAAAATTCCATGGAACTTTCTAAAAAAACCCACAGGCACTGCACCTCCGCATCCTCAGGGCAGCCTCTTCCGGCTGAGGCTTCACTGACGCAGAGCTGTGTTGACACCAGTGGGGAATCGTGGAGGCGGAGACCCCCCTGCCCCCACCGTGGGTAGGTTAGGGCAAAAGTCAATAAATCAGGTCTCCGTGGCTTTCAAGCGACACCTGGGGATCCACAGAACAAATGGGGAAATCTACACAATTCAAAGAGGGACAAACTCTTTGGGAATTTATTGGTGGCCTCTGGGAAAAATTTCTTCCCTGATTTTCCAGGTAATGGAAGCAGAGGCTGGCTGGGCTGGTACCGTTATAATACTAGATACCATTTAATGAGCACGTACTATGTTCCATGTACCTTTCCAAGGGCTTTCCATGTATTAACTCCTTCACTACTTACAACAAGCTTCTGAGTTCTGATTATTCTCGTTTTCTGGCGAGGGAAGCAAGGCACAGAGAAGTAGCATAACTGGGCCAAGGAGTCACAGCGTGTGAGTGGTAGGAGCCCGATCCATCCAACTCCAGAGCCAGGTGACTGACCACTGGACCACACTGCCGCGTGTGCTACAGGAGACTGGACATGCATGCTGCCCAGAGGACCGAGCCCAGGCCAGCCAAGGCCCCTGAGTGCAGGGCGGTGGTCAGCACAGCAGGACTGCTGAAGGGACAAAGCTTACGGCCACTGCAGACCAGCACTCAGCCCAGGCTTGTCCAAGGGTGAGTTAGCGGCCTCCACGCTGTCAGGTCCCAGCTCGGCCACTCGCTGTGGGTCCCTGCGCAAGGCACCGCCAAGCCTCTCTGAGTCTCAGTCTGTTCCCTATTAAAACGGGGAAAAACCAGCGCTGGCTTCATAGGACTGTTGTGAGGAATTCAGTGAGTGCTGTGAAGCTGTTAAGGGCTTGGCAGCAAGCTAGGCACAAAGACAATGCAGATAAATGTCAGCTATTAGTGTTATTATTATTCATTACTTTTGTGATGATTCACTATGATGTTTCATGTTTGCACTCTCTCTCCCCCAGGGGATGCAGTGAGTAGACAAGTTGTTCTTTTTGGAGACAGAGGGATGCACAAGATGGCTTTGGGAACCCCTCCCTCTCAAGGATTCTTGCATCACCCATCCCCCTCCTTGTCGTCCCTCCCCCCCTGGCCAACCCCCCCCCACCGCCCTCCCCCTGCTCATTCATGGCAGTAGCTATAGTCTCTCAGAAGTCAGTTTCCATCTTTGAACCCCAGGTGCCCTGGCTCCCTGCCTGTGGTCCCCACTGGCTGGATGCTGTTGCTATGGCAACAGCATTTTAAGAGCCTTTGGCCCCCCTCTGAGGCGACAGGCGTGGATGGAGATGGGCTGATCCAATGTCTCCTGCATTCCCAGACCTGTCTGGATGGAAGGCAGGAGAGAGAAATGTAAGAATCAGAGCTGGTTGGGGGTGGGGGCTAGCTCAGCCCCCAGCCCCCCAAGCTTCCAGAGAGCAGCCCCCACTGTGCCGTGTCACGTGGCAAAGAGCCCAGTAGTTGGTCACAAATGCAGATTCCAGCCTCTGATGGAATCAAAGGGTCAAAGGGTCTGATTTTAATGATCTGGGGCGGGACCCCGTAGCAAGCTGCCTTAGGTCCACTCTGCTACTGGTTCTGAGGCAGACAGGCCCCAAACCACACTGGACGACAAAATCTTGAGTCTTGGAAGGTTCCAGAAGTCACTCTGGGCACTGAGGTTTGTGTGGCTCTCCCTGCTGAGGAAGCTCCTGAGAAGCTCAGTGTGTCCTCCTGGGCCTGCTCCAGTCCTGCCCCGCTGCCCTTCCACAGCCTCCCGTGGGGGAGGACGTGTGCCCCACCCGCCTCCGCGCCAGGAAAACTCCAGGGCTGGGCTGCTGGAAGGCCCTGTTGGCCATGCCTCCTGGGACAGAGGCCGGCCCACGCTCCCTCAGGGCAACAATGCCACTCAGGGGAGGGGCGGGGGGGGGGGTGGCACTGGGTCGAGGGTAGTGAACGACTGTCTACTACTCCAGATCCGAGGTGTGAAGGCCTCTGCCCTTCGTCCCCAGTCCGCCAGCGCCACCTGCTGGAAGGGATCTTGTTCCTGCCCTTGTCCCTCCCTCACCACCAGCAGAACCCGTGACTCTGGGCTAGGTGCGGGGGTGGGGGGGGGGGCGAGGGAGGGGGGATGCCCAACGAAAGGTAAAGCCTGGGGGCGGGGTGGGGGCTGAGAGTAGAGGCTGAGGAGACCTGGTGGGAGGGGAGAAGACAGAGAACATTGGGGATTGAGGGCTCTCTCTGGAGTGCGAGGACCAGACTGTGGGGATCCGTGAATCTGAGAGGGGTGCGTGGCCCACGATGGGTGGGGTTGCCGAAGGGAGAGTAGAGACACGGAGACGCTCCCTTCTCCTCCCACTCCCCCTCCAGCCCCTGCCCTTCCCAGGACACTAACTGGTCTCCAGCAGGGGACTGGTTCTCTTTGCCCAAGGCCAATGGCACCAGGAATGGCATGCAGTTATTTGCTTGACAACACCCCCTTTATTCCTTTCCCAGAATCACCCCCTGCTCCTCCCCCAGTGGTTCCTGGGATTACTATCGAATACACGTGCACTCGGACCCTTGTCTTGGGGTCTGTTTCAATGGGGCCCTATGGCCAGAAGCCCCTCCCGAATCCCCTGCTCATAGTTCTGTCTGAGGGCAGTAATGCCCCTTGTGTCCCAAGGGAAAGCTGTGTACCCCTGAACCCCAGCTGGGCGTGTGGCCTGCTGAAGGCTGAGACCTCTGGATGGGTCTGTACTGGGGGGGAGGGAGCCAACTCCACACTTCCTGCACCCTGTCCTGACCGCCTGAGGGTCATGTCTTCCCTGCGTTTCTTGGTGCCCGTTCTTGTGCCCTGAGCACAAGCCCCGCCCACGGAGTGCTCAGGAGACAGTCCTGATGGGCTCGGTCCCTTTGCCCCAGCCCAGCACCCCCTGGAGCCTGGTGCAGCGGTGGGGGTTCCCAGCTAGAGGGAGGGAGGGGGGCTTGTCTGGGGTGAGTCCTCCAGAGACGTCTGTGAGTCTGTCCCCTCAGAGGAGGAGCTGCTGCCGGTGGCGTGCAGGATCTGACTCTGCCTGGGAAGCCGCTGCCAGGAGAAGGGCGGGGCGAGAATACGCTCAGGGCCAGGATCCGGGGGCTCGTGGGGGCCCTTGCCTTCATCAGCCTCTCCAGCCTGGCCAGCATCCTGGGGCACAGGGCCTGCCTGGAGAGTTCTGTTCTGCCCCTCGCCGGGGGCCCAAGGAGGCCAACGGGACTTCGGCAAATGACCCAGGCCCAGGGAGTCCTGGGAGGGCAGGTCCTGCCTTCCCTTGGAAGTGGCTTTTCCGTTCACACCCTGGCCCTTGGCGGCTGTCCCCCGTAGATCCAGGTGTGCCAAGTGGGCCGTGGGACCCAGTGGGCAGGGGCAGTGGGCCAGGGCCTTCTTCAGGAGGGCCTGGATCTCCCCGTGTCTCGCCCGGGCCTCCTCCCACAGGCCGCGGCCCAGGCCTTCCCGGCTCAGGGAGGCCGCCTGCAGCCCCATGGCCGCGAGCTTCTCTGCAGGGAACTCGGACGACAGTCGCTGCAGGTAGCGGTGGAGGCGGCGCTGGTCCCCAGGGCTGGCCTTGTGGGCCTTGCCCAGCTTGAGCTGCGTCATCAGGTCCTGACAGTCCATGTGGAACCAGGTCATCTGGGAGACAAGAGGAGAAGGAGGTGGGGTTTGAGCTAGGAGAGGCGCCTGGGCGCCCCATGAGGATGAGATGGGCTTCTCTGCGCCGAGAGAGCGCGGAGAACAAGCGTTGCTGGACTGAATTAACAACTTGCCCCCAGTCTGTGAGGGTTGTGGTTTTCTCTGGGGACGGTGACGACAGTGGTTTCCCTCTCTTCCCCCAGGTACGCACACCTGCCACCGGGAAACGGCCCCCAGCACCCTGGGCACCTCGGGTGTGACCTAACACACCTGAGCCAGCAGGGACTTCCGCCTAACTGGGGCTCACGTCTCCTTCTGTGAAATGGGACGCTGGACAAGATGATCACACAAAGTTTCTGCGAGCCGAATATTCGGATCCTCGGACTGCGGAACCCTGTCTGAGGAGCACTGAGGGCGGAGTCTGCCTCAGGTTCACTGAGCACCCCGGGCTCCACGAGTCTCATGTTCGTTCACACTCGGCTGCACCAACAGCCCATTTGACAGAGGAAGAAACCGAGGCTCAGGGGAGTGAAATCATGTGAGCAGGTCACACTTCAGGTCAGGGATGAGCTGGGATTTGAACTCAGAGAGCATCTGCCAAGCATCTCCTTGTGCCCGGAGAACCGGGCGCAGGCAGGGCCAGGCCCTCGCTGTCACCGGAGAGACCATCAGCCAGCTCAGGCCCCGCCGTCCCCTCACGCCAGCCCCTCCACCCTGTGTTGGGGCTCTGCCTGTCCCCATTTCACCCCCAAAATGTCTGCAGGCTGCAAAGGAGCCAACACATTCCCGGCGGCTCGTGAAAAACATAATCTTTCTCTCCATTAATTTAGAAGCCGACAGCGAGCTGTTAGGCTGTGGGGATTGGAGAACCATTTTCTCCGAAGAAACCATCTTTCCGTGGATTAAGGGAACTTGTCTTTAGATAAATGGCTTCATATTCGCGGGAGCACACGGAGCTCATGGCCGGGAAAGGGCCCCATAAATCTCCGTGAGCGGCGCGGTCGTGTTATTATTATTTAGTGCCGCGGCTGCTGCCTGCCCGCTCTGCACCCAGGGCTGGCCCCGCACTGGGCTGTCCCGTCTGCCTGTCTGTCTGGGACTCCATCTTTGAGGCTGAGCTAGACAGAGATGGGTAACGCCTCAGAAATCATCTTGCCCCAACAACCCTTGTTGTGCGGGTTAAAATTCGGGGCCAGAGAGGAGAGGGGCTGGACCGGGTTGGACAGCAAGAGATGGTCGGCCGTAGTGGGGCTCCGGGTCAGGGCGGCCACCACCCGTACAATTCCTGGTCCTGGGTCAGATCTGCATCCCCATACGCACCCACAGCCTCCCTCCCTCCCTCCCTCCCTCCAGCTGCCCCAGCAGGCTGGCCACAGTGTCCACTGAGCCCCTCTGGGCGCTGGCCTTGTGCCAAGCACTGCGGACAGGGCCAGGACCCAGTCAGACCCGCTGCTGCCTCGGGGCTCACCTCACAGGTGACAGACAGGAGACAAGCAGGTGATGAAGCAGCAGGACACTTTCAGATCCCAGGGGCCCCACGAAGTAATACCCACGGGGCGGTGGCAGAGCAAGGGGGGCTGGGTGGTCAGGAAGGGTCCCTGTGAGGAGGGGACATGTGAGCTGAGCACTGAAGAAAGACAAGAGGCCAGCCGGTTGCGGGGAAGAGATTCCCAGCTGAGGGAACAGAGAGTGCAAAGCCTCAGAGCTGAGCAACTTTGGTTTCTCCAGGGAAGGTCAATGGGGCTGAAATCAGCTAAAACTGATGAGCAAGGGAGAAGCTTCCAGATATCCTTAATCCATGAGGCTACTAATGATAATACTAATATCGGTGTTAAAAATCATAATTCCAAATTTCAGCAAAGCCTGGGGGGTGGGGGTTACTTACATTTCATTCTCTTGGCAATTTAATTCTACCTGGCAAGTCTGGCCCTAGAATCGGATCCCTGGGTTGGAATCTCAGCTCTGCCACTTCCTGGCTGTGTGACCCTGGGTGAGTTCTTTGACCTCTCTGTGCTTCCTTATGCACCGAACGGGCATAATCCTAGTATCTCCCTCGTAGGGTTAGTGTGCCAGGAAAACGAGGTGTAAAATGACTGGAACAAGGCACATAATCAGAACCACCGAAGCATTGGTTATCATCATCACCATCATCATCGTCATCATCATCATCATCATCATCGACGAGGAGCGTCGGCCTAGAGCGGGGAGACTGTCTTTGAGGCCACACAACCCACGCGGGCCGGCGGACGCTGCCTGGCTCCCTGACTTCTGTGCAGGTGGGAGTGGGGGAAGCTTTTGCTGTCAGGGCCCAGGTCTGCCTCCCTTGCCCGCTCCCAGGGGACAGAGTGGCCTCCCAGCACCCCTGGCGTGAGTGACCAGAGTCCTTCCCACTGCCCTCCAAAGCATCCCGAGTTCCCTGGCCCCGCTGTCCCCTGCAGGATGGGCTGGCCTGACAGCTGGGAGGCTGGGGCCAGGCCCTTCTCATGCTCTGTCCTCAGGGGTGAGGGGCAGCCGAGGGCACTGGGTCTGGGCCAGAGATGTGGGGGGTCTGGTTCCAGCTGGGTCACGGCTCTCCCAGGCTGCTGCCCTGGCCCCCTAGGTCTCAGTTTCCCCATCAGAAAATGAGAGGTTTAGGAGAGATTTAGGAGAGACAGGGGGTGTTTAAGTCGAATCCTGCTTGACCGTCAGCCCTCTGGGGGACCTTGAGCCAGGCACTTTCCCCTTGGGGCCTCAGTGTGCTCATCTGCAAGATGGAAACAACGCTGGCACCCCTCCCTCATACAGATACAGTGCAAATCCAACCGGGCAGGGTGTGTGAAGCGCTTATAGGAGGTTTTGCCATGGAGCACACGGCCGATACGTGGGCCACCCTCGTAATTATCACCTACTCTTCATCGTCATCGAGCTGGCTCGGACATGGCCAGCTGGTCGCCATCCCCCACCTGCCTGCCCTCCTTCGGAGAAGGACACAGGGCACGCCACAGGGCATGAATGTGTCTGCGTTCAAACTCCAGCTCTTCTTTTCTCCGGCTGTGTGGCCTCGGGCCAGGCCCTTCCCCTCTCTGGGCCTCAGTTTCCTCATCCGTAAAATGGGCTGATCGGCCTTGCCACACTGGGTTGCCAAGAGATGATAGATGCAAAGAAATGGCATTCCTCTTGCCTCCCACCCCCATACTCTGTGCTTGCCCCCCAACCCCACTCCACCACCGCAGCCCTACCCTCTCCCTTACCCTCCTGGCCAGACTCCGGGTTCCTGGCTAGGACCGAGGCCTCTGTTCTGGGCATGCCACCCTCAGCCGACTGTCCCTCCCACCCCCGCTCTCGCCATCTGTGCTGGCAAGGGGAGCCATGGGGAAGGGCACTATGATGGTGCCATGGGCTCGCTGTGTGACCTTGGCTCAGTGACAGCCCTTCTCTGATGCTGTTTCTCCAAATCTGAATCAAAGGGGTGAGCCAAGATCGAGGTTGCCTAGAGATCTATGTGTGGAGACAAAGCCTATGGCTTTGATTAAAATCTCAGAAATTGTCCCTGGCTTGTGTGGCTCAGTGGATTGAGCACCGGCCTGTGAACCAAAGGGTCACTGGTTCAATTCCCAGTCAGGACAGATGCCTGGGTTGTGGGCCAGGTCCCCAGGAGGGGGTGCGTGAGAGGCAACCACACATTAATGTTTCTCTCTCTTTCTCCCTCCTTCCCCCTCTGTCTAAAAATATATAATAGTAAAAAAACCTTAGAAATCCCAATGTTTAAGAAGCAGGTCATATCTGAGGGTCACCGGGAGGATGGCTGGTGTAGTGGGTCAAGCTGGGGTCGGGGATCAGCTGGACCTGGATTTAGGAGGGTGACTCAACCTCTCCGACTATCTTTACTTCCCTCTGGAAAATGGAAGTAATACTTTCCCCCACCCCCAGGACTGTGGAAGGAATCATGCGCAGAGCCCAGCGCTGTGTCTGGCCCGCTCCCTGCCTCCCAGCCGGTGGGGCGGGCTCACCTTCTTGCAGAAGCGGTGCAGCTGGAGCAGCGTCTCCAGGTCTGTGCGTTGCCGCTCGGCAGCCATGTAGAAGTGGGTCAGCTTGGCCTGGAAGGTCCGCTGCGTGGCGGCAAAGGCTGCCAGCTCTGGGAACTCTGTCCCGCCTGCCTCGCTGGCCCCTCCGGCGGCAGCTTCCACCTGCGCCGCCTGCTTGGACAGCTCCAGGCCTCGCCGGTACTGGGCCTGAGTGGGGAAAGACAGGCGCCCGCTCAGCTCCCCTTAGCTGAGGCCTCTCCCCGTCAGAAGCCTCCCACTGCCCCGCTGCTGACTTATGAGACTTCCTGAGCCTCAGTTTCCTCATCTATACAATGGGGACCCATGCCTCTATAGGGGCAGTGTACTTCACCTAGCTGGGACTCTGCTTAGTGTCCTCTTCTTCCGGAAAATGTCCCCGACCCCAAAGTCTTATATCCCCACAGTTTTCCCTTTCTGTCTGTTTTCCTCCTGCCTCCATCTCCCACTGTCCTGGGGGGAATCCTGAGGGATTCTGAGATAGGTTATCTTTGGACTTGGTGGTCCCTGAAGACTTCCTGGAGGAGGCGGCGTCTAAGCTGAACCCATTATGATCCAAGCTGGCCTCCTCACTGTTTCCGGAAGTTTTCTTGTGCTTTCCCACCCCCACACCTCCACCCTGGCCGTGCCGCCCCCTCCACTGCCCTCTCCCTGTGCTCCAGTGCTGCTCCTCAGACTTAGGGACACACCGCAGCCTGCAGGAAGAAGTCCTCGAATTCGATGTGGGCTTTCTCCACTGTCTCCAAGCTTCCGTCCTTGGGGGTCAACGCTTGCAGGCTCCAGCTTCCTTCCTGCTCCATCCAGTTGCTGACCTGGGACAGGGGAGGGAGGTTTGGACACGAGGGGCTGCTGGGGAGACGTCTCTTGGCCAGCTCCCCCGCCACTCTGGAGGCTGAGGTCTCCTTGTCCTGAGCCTCTCAGTTGCTGGGCCTGCGCTCACTGGCCTGGACGGGAACCCTCCGAGCTCTGGGGAGAAGAGACAGCTTTGGGGGGTGGGGGCGATGTGCACTGTCATGGTCTTCAACTATTCAAAGGGGAGAGGACTTCCGAGTGGGACCCCAGAGGACACCTGGCCTGGCCAGCGTCCTGCACAGAGCAGGGCACACTTGTCTGAGTGAAGTCACCGGGTGGCAAACTTCAGCTCGCCCTAATCACTCAGTGCCACCCAATCATAAAAGGGGTTGCCTTGGGAGTGATGAGCTCCCCATCCCTGGGGGAGTGCAAACAGTGCTGGAGAAAAGGCTGCCTGCCATTGAGGAAGGTACATGGGCCGGCCATGAGCTTACTGTGTGAACTGGGTGAGGCACTTGCCCTTTCTGGGCCTCAGTGTACTCAGTGGCAAAATGGAACAGACATGAGGGTTCAGTGAGGGACAGAGCAGGTAACATGGCTCTGGACCTCACAAGCAGAAGTTTCTTTGTTCTGGGGCATCTTAAAGAACGTGTGTTCGCATACTCTATCCTTGCAAAGCCAGAGCAGCGGGCACTAACATTAGCCCCCATTTAACAGAGGGGGAAACTGAGGCACTGAGTAGTAAAGTGACTTGTCTAGGATCACACTGCCAGTAAGTGCCAGGCCAGGACTGGAACCCAGAGAGCACACTCTGCTCCATGGCCCCGAGCTCGAAGGGATGCATTGTTTAAGCGCCTGAGGTCAGATAAAATGGTGACAGATGTGGGCTCCAAGATCAGACCCCCCAGGTGCGTGACCACAGGTGGGTGACTTGGTGCCTCTCAGCATCGAGGGACATGCTAGCCCCTCCCCTACATCAATGGCAAGTTTCGAGGTTAGAAAGCAATGACACAGGCAAAGGCTCTGGCCCAGGGCTTGGTACACAGCTGGTGGACAATAAGTGCAGTTTTGGGGGTTAGGTCTTCACAATTAAGCTCTTGTTGAAAATCACGTCATGTGCCACACCCCAGTGATGTCTGCTTAGCCCTCGAAGAATGGCCAGAGCCTCAGGTCCTTACACCAGAGCGAGTGCCGGCTGCAGCAGGGCCTGGAGCAGGGCCTTCCCTGCGGAGGACAGCCAGGCAGCCGCCCCCACGTCTCCCAGGCTAGCCTCCCCTTTCACCTGGTGGATGGCAGCTTCCAGGCGGCCCAGGCGGACTCGGAGCTCCAGCCTCCCCAGGAGGTGATTAGATGCGGTGACCAGGACATGCAGCTGCTCATCCAAGAGGCTGTAGAGGGCAGTGGCTTCAGCCAGATGGCTCCTGGGAGGGAGAGGAAGGTGAGAGAAGGCCCAGATGCAGTCCCTCCCCAGCACTGCTGCCTGGCACAGGCCTGCCCCCACAACTCCCAGCGATCCCTGGGCCCTGACCTGGGTATTCTAGCTGCCAACTTGCTGTGTGATCGTGGGCAGGTCCCTAAGCTCTCTGGGTGGCAGAGAGCCTTGGTCTTCCAGGAGACTGGAAGGACCAGCAGACACAGCGGGACTTACCTAGGAAGGTATGAACTAAGCTGGACAGATCTGGGTTCAAATCCCAGCCCTGCTGTCTTCTTGTCCTGGGACCTTGTGCAAATTTCTCAGCCTTTCTGTGTCTCTGTTCTGTCACCTCTCCAAAGTGGGAATAACAGCACCCACTTCAGACTGCTTGCAAGGATTAAATCATCTAATGCCTTGGCTCTCAACCCTGGCTACACATTAGAACCCACCCTGGGAGCTTTAAAAGTCTCAATGCCCAGGCCCACGCCCGGCCAACTGAGTCAGGTCTGAGGGCAGCCTGGATGCTCGTGCTTCCTAAACCTCCTCAGGACACGCTGGGGTGGGGGAGGGCCGCCAGGGTGAGAGCCGGTCCTCTCGCACTGAAAACAACACAGGCTCTCTGGGCACTCAGGTCTGGTGGCGCTGGTTATTTCTATTGCAGTGATAGTGAGTAGCTGTAACACCCTCCACACCCCCGCCTCCATTTCACAGATGGGAAAACTGAGGTCCAGAGAGAGCAACTGACTCTCAGGCATGGCAGTTTGAACTGGAACCCAGTCCGAGGCTTCTTCTGAGGATGGATTTTTAAAACAGTCAAAGCCGGCAAGACATGAATGAAGGATCATGGATGGGACTAAAGGTGGTAACACTGAGGTAGAGGGAGGGATTGTGGGGCTTTCCTGACACCCCTCAAATCCCATCCTACCATCCTCTGCCCTGGGTGGGCGCCAGGGAGGGAGTCTTACTTCAGAAGGAAAAGGGAAAGAAGGGAGGGAAGGAAAGCCTGCTTGTCTGGAGGGAGTCTTGCGCTGGGCCTCCCCATCCAGCTGCCGCTCCCCACCAGTCACTTCCTTCCAGGTGAGGGCCCAGGGTGCGTGAACGCGATGGAAAATGCCAGCTTGCCTGATGGTGGGAGGAAGGGGCGGTAGGCGGGAGCTGCCAGGACCTTCAGCAGAACAAACACCCAGAGCAGATCATGTGGGACCACAGCGCCCCCTGGTGGAGATTCCAGTGGCCAAATGGACTCGAGGGGCCTGGCACCCAGCCAGTGTGAGGTGGGGACATTCTGGGAATCACAGAGCCAGCTGCACCAGGCCATGTGAGGATCAGGGAGACGACTCCACAGCCAGTACCAGGGCCCGCTGCTGGCCCAGTGCTCATACCAGCATGACTCAGCCTGTGGGCACAGCACAGGGCACTGTGTTCAAGTTTCTGGGCCAGGCTGCCTGGGTTCAAGTCCTGGCCCCACCACATCCCAGCTGTGTGACCCCGGGGCAGGTCAGCCTCTCTCTGAGCCTTGGCTCCTCCATTGTAAAAGGAGGATACGGCTAGGTGGGTGGTAGTGTCCTCATGGGTGGGAATTAAACAAGTCACTATTTGTAAAGCCCCTAAAACAAATGAAAGTCATCCTAAGTGCTGTTTCAGAGTTGGTTAAATAAATAAATTGTTGGAAGCTCATGCACACTTTGGAACTGTGTGCTCTAGCAGAGATAAAATATTTCCAATGGCTGCTTTAATGAACAATTTGCCCCTCCCACCCCTACATTGAAGAAAATCGGGACTTTCCGGGAATATCCATTGTTTATTCTGTGGCTCTGAGGTCTTCCTGGCCAGGCTCAGCCCCGTGTCTGGGTCAGAGAAAGCACTTGGTCCGTGAGTGTGGCCAGAGTCAGGCAGGGCTGTCCCTCCACCCCAGCCTGAAGATGACCGGGGCTGAAGGAGGGCAGCAGAGAAGGAACACGAGGTGGGTCCTGCAAACACCCCCATCCTGGGCATCTGCAGGGCCCACCTTATGGGTCCCCAGCTCCAAACTCTAAGAAACAGTGTGGGGTGGCGGAGGAAAAGACTGGGTGTCCATACCTGACATCCGGGTTGAAGTCCAGCCTGCTGGCCTCCTGCCGCAGCCTGGCCAGGGTGGCTCCACCGTCCCGCTGGAGGCCCAGCAGCCCTGGGTCCCTCAGCACGGCCTCCATCAGCTCCTTGGACTTGTTCAGACACCTGGAGGCCTCCTGCCAGTGTGGGAAGGAGGCCTGAGACCCAGTCCCCACTGTCCCCCTACAGCCTTCCAGGGCTCCCCACAGCCAGATCGTGTCCGACTCCCCCAGTCTGGCATTCAAGAGCCCACAGAAGGTCTATCCTTTCTATATCTAAAACATTTCCTGAAGGCACCCCTCTCATCGCCATGGCAACCCCACTGGTCCCAGTGCCCTCCTCATCTCTTGCTGGGACACCCATCCTGGCTTCCTCACTGGTCTTCCTGCCATACTCTGGCTCCCCCTGCAGTCTGTTCTCTGCATGGCAGCAGGAAGGGTCCCAAAGTGCAACCTACCCTCTGCTTAAAACTCTCCAGTAGCTTCCCTGCCCACTCAGAAGGAATTCCCAACCCAGCTCCTCTTTGATGCAGCCCCTGCTGGATCCAGAAGACCTTCTAGGTTTCTCCTCACCCTTCTCCCCCAGCTCATTCTGTTCCATGCTGGCCTCCATGCTGTTCCAGAACATACCAAGCATACTCCCACCTCAGGGCCATTGCACATGCTGGCCCTTCCCCTCCCTGGAGCCCAGTCCCCCTCCTGTTCCCATGCAGGCTCCTGCTCATGCTTCATGCCTGAATTTAAGCACCGTCTCTTCAGTGAGCGGCATTTGGTACATTTCATGGCATTTGGCACAATTTGTAACTACAGGTCCATTTCTTTGTTCACTTTTTAACAACAACCTCTACCACAGTACCACGAACTCCATGAGGGCAGGGACAAGTCAGCTTGCCCCAGGCTGGGTCCCCAGGCAGTGAGTACCCAATAAATACTAGTCAAGTGACTAAACGAATAACAGGGGTGATCATGCCCACCCTGACTGTCCCCCTCACTGAGCCCTTGGTCTGTGGAATTTGGGGTGTGGCGTGACTTTCCCACCCCATGCTCCTTGCTCACCTGTGCCCCTCCAGGGGGATCACCCTTCTCAAACTCCTTGATGGACGCCTGTAGCAGGCAGGAGGCCCGGCGGAGGTCGGCAAGGAAAGGCTCCGACTTCTGCGGAACAGAGACCAGAGAGGGGGTGTCAGCCTGGGCCAGTGCGGAGGGCGCCTCCCCCACCCAGAAGGACACAGCAGGGGCTTCGGGGGTGGTTCTCAAGCTGCAGCTGCGTCAGAAGCACCTGGAGAGCTGGTTAACATCCACGCTGCTGAGCCCCACTCCTGTGTTTCTGACTTAGCTCCTCTGGGGCGGGGCCCGAGAATGTGAATTTGTACCAAGTTCCCAGGTGATGCTGACACTGCTGGTCCAGGGACCCCACTTTGAGAACCACTGCTGCTGGGAATGAGAGAGGCAGAAGGAAGGCCTGAGCTATCCCCAGGCCAGTGGGGATGCCTTGGGGGAGGGGAAGGGAAGGGAAGAAAGAGGAGAGGGGGAGGGATGACACTGCAGCCCAGCTCCCTCCACTGCTTACTCGCTGTGAGGCCTTGGGCAAGTTACTTAACCTCTCTGTGCTTCCGCTTCTTCCTCTGTAAAATGGGGTCACAGTAGCTCTGGCCTTACAGGCTGGTGTGAGGACCAAAGAGTGTTAGTCTTCATCACTACCAGTTTTATATTCTGGGTCTCTAGGTAAGACTTCATTTAAAGGGAAGGTTTTAAAACAGAAATGTGGTTTGAGAGTCAGTGGATTAATTGGAGAAGGGGGCCGGGGCCCAGGGGACGAGAAGAGATACACCGTGCCCTTCGGTGCCACCTGAATTTTGAACACAGATGTGATTCTAAAAAGAAGAGAACCAGGCTGTAGACTGTTAGTACAGACCAGTGGTTCTCAGTGGGGGGTAGCGTTGCCCCCTGGGGGACATGGGCAATGTCCGGAGACGTTTTGGTGGTCCTGGTCAGAGTAGGCAGAGCCCAGAGCTAATCCTGCTACAATGCACAAGGCAGCTCCCGACAACGGCAAACGATCCAGCCCCACCTGTGGATGGTGCTGAGGAGGAGCAGCCCTGGTCTGGAGGAAGCCCCAGTGGGCCCTCACGGGCACGGTTTCCATGCGGTTTACACTGGTAATCTCGAGCACCGCTGTGTGAGCCGCCCTGCCCCGTGTGTGCTCATGGGTTACCTTGGCCGTGAAACGCCCCCTCGAAGGCTGGCGGTGAGTGGTGAGGAGGGACAAGCTCACGCAGGAAAGGAGCCCAGCGCTGGCAGTTTTCGAACATCCCCTCTTACAAGAAGAAACATGCCTGCCGTCCCCACCAGACCCTGAGCTCCTGAGCTGTGTGGGTGCATGGAGCAGATGTCTGCATTTATTTTCTTTTCAGCTAATATCGACACAGCTCCCAGCACATGCCAGATACTCTTCTGAGCTCTTTACCCCCATTAACTCAATTACTGCTCGCAACAGCCCCCTGAGGAAGTACTATGAGTACACCCCCCTCCAACTTTATAGATGAGGAAAAGGGCTCAGAGACGGTACATAACTTACCCAAGGTCACACAGCAGAGCTGGGATTGGAACCCAGGTGGTCAGACCCCAGAGCCTGAGCTCTCAATCACTCCTCTCTGCCCCTTCATTATAAACGTTTGTCGAGGGACTAGCTTTGAACCTGACAGTGTGGATGGATCTGTGGGGCAGGGTGGTGAAGGGAGGAAGAAAAGGAGTGAGGAGGGCGCGGGGCCAAAGGCTGTGACGGCAGACACCTGGAAGAATTGCACCCACTCGCTGTGGCAGTAGGGGAAGGAGCCGTCCAGGGCTGTGGGCAGCTGGCTGGGGTCCACGTGGTGGCTGAGGGCCTTGAAGGAGGTCAGCACCTCTACCTGCAGACAATGAAGCAAGTCAGGAGAACTGGGCACAGACAATTGACAAGGTCATGTCCAGACCCTGGCCTCAGCACCGGTCCACCTCCCACAGGTGAGTCTGGCCCTGGCCTCAAGAATTGCTTTCTGGGCACCGGGTCTTCTCTGGGAATCCTGGGGAGTCCAAATGCGGAGCCAGACCCAGGCGAGGAATAGCAAAGAAACAGCGTCTGTACTGCCACTCCCCTAGCCTGTGCCCAGGGCAGACATTATGAATCAATCGCAGCACGTGCACCCTCTGAGCTTGGCTCTTTCCCAGTCCAGCTCTCAGGCAATCACATAAACTGATTGAAGCGGGCCCTTGTCATGTAATTTCTTTATAATCCTTGTCCCATTCTCTGGTGACCCATTCTCATGGTGCTGTCTCTTCCTTGAGGTTGTTGAGAAAGGTCACCAAATCCTAACAGTTTCCCCTAAGACATGGAGGAGGGACTAGGTGACTGCCTCTCCAAGGCAGAGAATTTTGAGGTTTATGCCACAAACAGCTCCAGACACCTAAGCTTGGGACTGGGCGGATTTGTGATTTGGGGGGACCCGCTAGTTATCCCTGGTACTCAAAGTGCGGTCCATGGACCAGCAGCTTCAGCATCACTTAGGAGCATGTTCGAAATGCAGGGTCCCAGGCACCATTGGAACTTGCACTTCGACAAGATCCCCTCGTGACTCGTAAGCACCGTAAAGCTTGAAGAGCCTGTCTCTAGCTCACAGTGTGCCTCGTCCCTAACCAGGAGGAAGAAGCCCTCTCAAATCACTCCCTGAGACTGGGCAGAGCACAGGTGCTCACACTTAGGATTGTTGCACAAGACACTAATTCAAGGAAGCAGCCGACTCTTTCCTGCACAGTCCCAAGTCAACGCTGCATCTGAGCCAGAGATGCTGAGAGAAACGAGCGAGAGAAACACAGGAAGGTCAGGAGGAAAAGGCCCCTCTGGCTCCGGCTTGCTCTGGGGCCTTGGGCCTCAGTTTCCCCTTCTGAAAAGAAAGGGGGGCGGGGTTGGCTAGACGAAGCTTTTCACAAAGGTTTCACGCCGTGTGCTGCTGTCAACCACGCTGCAGTGCCCACTGGGTGTTGCTGGGATTTCCAGAGAGAAGTCATTCTGTGACTCAGGGCAGGGCCGCAGGGTTGGGGCATCCGCGCCTTGCAATTACTGACCTTCGCTACACCATTTCAGGGCCTCTCCTCACCCGTGACTTCTGCAGCTCATCACCCCAGCTCAGCAAAATCCTGACAACTCCTCCCTGCCCTGGCCGACACTGCCTGCCCCTCACCTGGATGTCAGGTAATGTCTCCAGTGGAAGGGCAGCCTCCTTCTCCCCCAGGAAGAGAATGGCATGGATGGAGGCTGGGTCCAGAGCCTGTAAGAAAAAAGCATTTCAGAGTGTCTCTGCCCCGGCCTTCACTAAGCCACTGGGCCTCCCCAGTAAGGTGCAAGCGAAAGGCCCCAGGGCTGGGGAGGGCGGCTCCACGAGGCTGGGGTGGTGTGGTAGGGGTGGGGGGTGAGCCATTGGACATCAAGAGAGCAGCGGGCCCACACTGTGTTGCAAACGTCCTGGATGACCTGCCCCCTCTGGGCCTCAGTTTCCCCATCTGTACGATGAGGAGGAAGAGGAGATCAGACCGTGAGGTAAGCATAAGCCAAACTTCCAGTTCCTCTGCTGCGAGTACCAGCTGGTTAGGAATCTCTTCCTGCCCCCAGTCTCAATTCCTGGGGCTCATGTGACCTAGGTCTAAGCCAATCAGCATGTTGCATTCCCCTGGTCACAGAGATTGGATGATGGATGGACACCTCAGCCAAGAGGAGTTAGGGAGACACAAAGAAACTTCTGCTGAAACTTCTGGGGAAAAAAAAATCTGTCACTCCTTCCTACTAGACTTGATTGAAAGGCCATGTGAATTTAGAGCTTTTGGGAACCAGAATGCCACCAAGACAGGGGCCTGGGTGAAAAGGGCACCCTCCCAGGAGAACAGGGGCAGAAATGGAGCAAGAAGAACCAGATTTCGTTGACAATATTTGAGCCCTCGAATCAAGCCATACCTGCAGTTGGATATAACCCATGGACTGTGGAGTCACATGAACCAACGAGCAGCCTTTCTCTTTAAGCCCGTTTCAGCTGGGGCTTCTGCTCGCTGCAACTAGGAGTCCCTGCCTGGGGGCCTGGACCCAGTCCTGAGCCCCCTGGGCTCCGTGAATATCAGCAGGCCCCTGGTTCTTGCTAGGCTGATGCTGCCCATCTCCCACTCACCTGGGTGGCCTTCAGGGCCTTGACCAGACCAGGATGTAACGGCTGCTTCCTGGCATCAATCAGGACTGCCAGTCCCTTGGTTTTGTCTTCTGGCCTGAGGGTGGTAAGCAGAACTGGCAGTGTTGCTGGATAAACCAGGCCCTCTAGGGGAAAGGAGCTAGTGGGAGGTGCGGGAAACTGGCCGCTAGAAGCCTTGATTAACTAGTGGACTCTTCATCCTGCAAGACCAAGATCCAGTGTCCCTCCCTCCAGGAAGCCCTCCCTGATTCTTCTCCAGAGTCTATTGCTCTCTCTTCAGTGCTCCCACAGTACGTCACACAGCTCTCTCTTACACCCTAATAATCAGGATACAGCTGCAGTGGGTAAGTCATCCAGCATTCACCCACTCCTTTTGGGTGGGCAGGACTCTCATTGGTTGAAGAATCCAACTTCCTCCATATGCCCATGCCCGCCACCACAAGAGCTAGTTTCTGATTGGTTGAGGCCGGGATCTAATTTCTTTAGCCAATGATTGGTTTAGATAGGGTCCTGCTGACATATTTCTGGTCAATGAGACATGAGAAGTTTGTTGGGGGACTTCTGGGAAGGAAGTCTCTCCTTTAAAAAGTTCTTACAAAGAGCTGTAAGGCGGACACATTGAATGATACATTTCTTTATCAGATAAGACATTTTGAATTGGAATTTGTTACTTGCAGCCAAAACACCCTAACTGGCTCACATCGCACTTTTCAGCGATTACCTTAGATTTCTCACACTGGCCAACTGTCAGAACTTGTTAAAATACTGACCCTTCACACCTACCCACCCCCCACTGCCACCCCCAGACATCTGGCCGTAAGGGATGGGGCCAGGGAGTCTGTGGGCTTCCAGGAGCCCTTGGCCATTCTGACAGTCAAGCAGGTTGGGAACATACACGCACTGCCTTCACGCCCGACAAGGAGCCAGCTCACAGACAGAGCCAGAGGCGGCCGGCGTGGGGTAGGGCTGCGGCACTGCCGACGTGTCTGGCCACCGGCGCCAGGTGTTTCATTTCACTGGAGTCCATTCCCCTCTGTAACTGGGGATGGTACCAGTTTCTGCCTCCTGGGACTGGACCGACGGACTCATTACTGGAAAGCACTCAGTGACCACGCAGAGTAGAAGGGATGTAAGTGTCTGCTATTATTATTATTATTATTATTATTATTATTATTATCCTCTGAGGGGAAACTGAGGCACAGAGCAGCAACGGGGCAGTGAGAAGGGGCTCTCGGAGCTGACACCAGGGCTCTGCTTGTCCCCCACCTCATGTGCCTCTGGTTATGCCCCTGCTGGGAGAGCACTGTGTCCTGGGCTCCGGGCTGAGAGGCTGGAGGGATGGAGTGGCCGGCCAGCCCCGCCTCTTACCTGGGGACAGTGCACAGGTAGCAAAGCAGCTTGGTGACCTCTGAGGCCCTGCACCATGGAGCCTCCCAGGACCCCTGGGTGGCTGACAGCAGAAGCAGGGGCCGCCCCACCCTGTCCCGACCACCTGGAGGAGAGAGGACACACGTGCTCGGTGAGAATTTTGGTGTGAGCCTTCTCACCGGGACCTGCTCTGCGGCCTTCTGCCAGGCCTTTGCCCACCCGGGTCCTTCTGCCTGAAATGCCCTTTCTCCCTGCCCTCACCCTCCCCATTAACTCTGAACTCTGATTCATCCGTGAAGACCCCATGCAAAAGCCACTTCCTCAGAGAAGTCATCCCTGACTTCCTCCTCTGTGCAGAGGCAGCCGCACTCTCCTCTGGACTCCCTCCGTCCTGCGTGCCGTGTGAGGTAAAGCTCGAGGAATGGGCTCTGGGGACACACAGACACTGTCCTCCGGCGGCCCCGTGTGGCCCCGTGGTCACAAGGGGTTTTCTACACTGAGTTGTAACAACCGGCTGAATGTTCTCCGCCACTCGACTTCCTGCGAGCAGAGAACACATCTGACTTGTTTCCTGCTGAGTCCGCAGCGCTCAGCTCGGGGCCTGGGGCACAGCAGGTGTTCGATGAGTATTCATTGCAACGGTGAATGAATATTAAACATAAATGATAATGCCTTCTGTGTTGGTCGCTGCTAATACCTCACCCAGACCCCCTCATCAGGCCAGAACACCCATCCCCTGCAGTCATAAGCATTGGCTGTAAATGGCTCACAGATGCCCTCTTCTCTGAAGAATTGCTCTCGGCTGAGACGGATCTTGGGCTCACCCTGCATCCCAGCCCAGGGTCAGCCTGGGCTGGGACCAACAGACCCAGGCACCATAAGGCGGAACAAGATCTGTGGGATCAGGCCACACCCTTGCTTAGCTCCTCCCTGACCCTGCCCTGCTTCCCTCACCTGCCTTCGCCTGAGAGCAACCTCCAATAAAATAAATCACTTTCACAAGGATCCCTGTCTCTGGCTCAGTTTCTAGGGAACCCAACCTAAGACACTCATCTTGCCTTCCTCGCTGAAAGTAGAATGTACGTACAAAGGTATGCATGTTTTTGGATGGTTTGATGGATGGGTGGGTGAGTGGGTAGGTGGATGGATGGATAGATGGATGAATGGATGGATGAATGGACATTGGATGGGTAGATGGATGGGTGGGTGGGTGAGTGGGTAGGTGGATGGATGGATGGATGGATGTTTGGATGGATACCTAGAAATTGCTTTTATATAGACTGGGGCAAAAGTAGGTTTACAGTTGCAAGTACATGAAACAGAGTCTGTTCTTGTATTATTAATGAACTACTGTATTATTTTGCATATGAACAACTGTAACCTAGAATACTTCTGCCCAGCCCTGTATGATCCAACTTGTTCCTTGGAAAGACGGGAAACCTGAGTGTCAGGAAGGCTCAGTCCTGAACACAAGCATCCAGAACTTTCCCTGTCTCCTCCCACACTCACCAGCTTCTGAGAATGCTCAGGGGCCCCACCCCCATCTCCGGTTCCCTGCCCCTCCACCTGCCCCTATAACCCCGAGGACCTGGCAGGCACGCTATCCTGGAGTGGACGATCTCCAGACTCAGAGTCCCAATCCCGGGTTCGGGCCCTGGCAGCTCCTCCTCCAGAGCGGGGCCTCTGTCTGGAGGACCTGCAGAAGCTTCTGGGAAATCAGCCCTTTCCCCAGTCAGTGGGCCTGAGTCAGCGGCTGGGCCAGATGTTTTGGTCTGAGTTGTTCCAGCTGGGAAAAGCAACAACAAAGGGTATTAAGCAGAAGATGAATTTCCTGGGGTTGGGGGCTGGGGAATGTCCTTCTGACTAATAATAATAATAGCGTACAACTACTGATCTCCAACTGCATGCCAGGCATTGTGCTAAGGTCCGTACTTCTGGTGTCTCTCTGAACCTCAGAACCACTCTGTGAGGCTGGGGAGGCCTCCTTTTGCTCAGAGAGGGAGACCTGAACTTTGAGAGGTTAAGTCCTTGACCAAGGTCACCCAGCCAGTGTGTGGTGAACCTGGGGTGTGGACTCAATCCACCACAACACAGTCACAATGCCTTGCTCAATCCCAGAACCAAACAACATTAAGCCTCTTGACATGCCACTCCGTGCTCTGAACTGCTGAGCGTGAGCAGCCCAGATGGGTCTTCGTCCCCGAGTCCCCGACAGCCTGCACCACCCTGTCGCTTGACCCCACCCAGAGAACAGCTCCCGCATCCAGCCGAGCAAGCGGGCGCCTTACCTTTCCCCAAGCACTTGGCCTGGCTGGGCTTGTGAGAGTAGAGTGAACACAGGACCTTCCAGGGCCCGTCATGCTGGAGCGAGGCTTTCTCTGGGGGTGCGGGGGCTTGCCTCTGCCCCTTCAAGAATGAGAACTTGAGGCCAAGAGTGGGGGATCTGGAAGAGGGGGTGCTTCGACCAGGACCAGGCACAGGCTTGGGAGATCTCCAGTTTCCCTGTTTGGTCCTCTCTCCCGCTTTGGTTTCAAGGGCTGGAGCCACAGGAGGAGAAGCTGGGCACAGCCGGGGAGAGGAGGTCTGTTTTGGTCCAGGCCTGGGCGGGACCACATTCTCTGCATTTCCCGGAGGCTCCTGTGTCTTGGAAGCAGCTGGCTCTTCTGAGACATCTGTCCTGAGGCCAGCGGCACAGTGCAGTGGATTCTCAAGGGCGTTGAGGTAGGGCTCTGGGGGTTGATGTTCTGAGCTGTGGGAGGGGGCTTTATGGTTGACCTTTCTCCTGAAGCCCAAAATGCCAGGCTCCTCCTCCGTGCTTGCTGGCTTTGCACAAGCACATTTCCCCAGGGAAGGCCCCCCACTGGCCCCCGGGAGAGGCAGCACCCTTTGAGAGAAAGGGATTTCTTTAGTCCCAGGCAGACCCTCCAGTGCCCCGACAGGACACCCACGGGACGTGTCTACCTCCTCACTCAGAGACTCTCCTCTGCTCTCTTGGGAAAAGCCCAGGAGAGCCACATAATCTCCCTCTAAGTCCTGGATGGCCACATCGTCCACCCTGAAGGCCACCTCCCCAGGCCTGGCTTGCTCCACCTTGATGAGTCCGGGGTATTTAATCCCACATGCCCTGCCCTTATCCTTGGCCAAGCTCTGGCCAGGAAGCACCTGGCTTCCCGGGGACCTGGCCTGGTGCAGCCCTTGAGGGCCACTCAAATCGAGTGCCTCCAATTGAAGGGACCCCCAGGCCGGGGAGAGGACAGTCGCTGCTTGGGGTTTGTCATCCACAAACTCTGGGCTGGTTATCTTGGCCCAGGGCAGAGGGCTGATCCCTTGCTCTGAAGCTACCAGGCAGTTGTGGAGAGGACTTCCCTCAAAGTCACTGTTGAAGGCCTCCAGCCACTCTTGGGTGAAAAGTGTCGGGTAGGATGACACGGGGACAGGCTTCGTGTCCACTGTGCGCAGGTCCAAGGTGAGGCACTTGACCCTGATGCAGACGGACTGCTCCTCCTGGGGCTCAACCTGAAGGTAGAAGTCGCCCTGGCGCAGCAAGAGGGGGTTGAGGGGGGCCAGGTGGACCACGACCTTGTCCTGCAGGCACAGCGGCCAGCCCTGGTGCAGGAAGAGGCAGTGCGAGTAGGGGGCCTGCGGAGAGACGGGGAGGGCGTCAGAGAGTCCGAAAGCCCCACCGGCGGGTCCGCTCCCTCCCGGCTCCAAGAAGGAACAGTGAACAGGCCAGGGCTCAGGTGAGGAAGAGAGGTGCCCAGGCCGTGGGATCTAAGGAGGCCCCGCTGTCAGGGACCTGCATATCTCACAGCCCAGAGAGTGAGCACCTCGGCCACATTCTGCCTTTGGTGCCCCATGCCTCACCCTGGTTCTGGCCCTGACCTTAAACACACTTGCTAGCCTGCTAGCCCGCTGGCTCAAGGGGGGCGAGCTCGAGTTCCAGGCGCTGGTCAGCAAGCACCTTTCCCAGGAGGACCGTTCTGCTGACGCACACTCCGTCCTCCTCCCTGTCTGTCCGTCCAGACTCCCCTCACCCCGGCTCCAGCCTGAGCCCTCCACTTTGGGGGGACATGGGTTCCATGGTCTGGGTGGCAGATGCCTGCGAACCACTCAGCTCCTTTGAACTTCCTTATTTTCTATCTGCAAATGGGAATGACGACACGGATTTGCTTTGTTGGGCTGGTAGGAGAAGTACGGGCAATGGCATGCACCTTGATATGACACCTGTGTATAAAAGACGTGGGTTGTATAAACACTAATTCCTTTGACAACATTTACTCTGTGGAAAAGTGTGGGGATTTTCTACTGAAAAAATAAAGAGGCCATTTACTGCTTTTACATCACTCCCTAACTTCTGAGTAGAGAAGTTACAAAGTGAAGTAGAAACAAGCCTGAGGGAAAGTCAGGGACTCTGACCCTGCCTCACTGTTCTGGGCTTGAATGCTTATTTGTGTGTTTGTTTATTAATTGTTTATTTGCCATTAGTGGTAACAACATAGCAGGAGAAGCAAAATATTTTAAAAATTGTTTTAACGGTACATGCCAGCAAATTCTGGGTATAGGTAGACACAGCAAGTCACCCGGGAGAGGCCGGGACCCCGTGATGGGACCCAGTGATCAAGCTTAGCTGAGCCCCTTCAGAGGGCTGCGCGGGACCAGTGTTCAACAGCGACGCCATGTGGCCACAACAGAAAGAACACTCCGCCGGACTGACAACAGGTTATTCTCCACCTGGCTTTTGGAAACGAGTCTCATTCCTGTAGATGGAGTAAATCCTGGATAATCTTGTGTCATTTGGATGTGTTTGTAGGAGGCGCTGCTTCCTGCTAATTAAGCAGGTGTCTCCTGGAATTATTAGTTGGGGAAATGATGAGATTTGACCATACTTCTACCTCAACTTGATAAACTAGTTCATATCAGTTACACTGTAAATCTGGCTATCCAGCCTGGATAAGAACTTGGGGTTTCCGTGGCCCTGAAACCATGTGGTTAATTCCACCCTACTACCTACCCACTTCTTGGAGGTGACACTAATTCACCTATAATTACAATTAAGCAAAGTTACCTATAATTAAAAATAAAGAAACGGGAAGGTTGCGGCCCTTGTCCCAGGGAGAAATGGGGAAGAGGATGGTGCAGATGCAGTTTTAATGGCCAGAGGAACTGGGTGGTTGTGGAGCGTGTCAGGGAGAAGAAGGAGGCTGAGGGTGGATGTGCATGAAATCACGCAATGTGGATACGTGGAGTTTGGCTGCAAATGTTTCAGAGGGGCTTCCTTCCATGTAATGACAACACATGCGTGTGGAGCTACTTCTACATGCCAGGCACTGTGCTAAGCATGTTAAATGAATGATCCAGTTTCCTTCCAGTTCCAACCATCTCTAATGCTGGCACCTAAGCCTGGACTTTTAGCTGCCACAGTGCATTTCTTTCTACCACTGAAATGATGCACATGGTCTGCATCCTTACATTTTGCTCTGATATGCCAGGTCCCTGACAGGCATCGGCAATTCAGGAAAGACTGGTGGGGCCTAAGACCCTCTCAGTGATTCTTGAGGCTGGGTGGCAGGAGGATGGGCATTATTACAGCATGGCAGGGCACAGGTGGCAACCCGGTGAAGGGTGTGGGCAAGTTTCAGCAGGGAGCATCTGAGGATTGGGTCTCCAAAGGCCTCTTCCTACCCTTTCCTTGAAACAGTCTCCGCCCTCTGACCATAGAAGTAAGCATATGACCCAAGGCTGACCAATCCTGGTACCCCACTCCTCTGGCTGCTGTGATTGGCCCAGGGATGGGCATAGGACCCAAGCCTGCCCAGTCAGGATCCTTCCTTGCAATGTTTCTATCTGCAGCTGATGGGGAAGAGTTAGCTTCCTCTTCAGAGTAGGATTTGATCCCAGAACTGTCTTGGGCTCCACCTTGTGGGAACATGTAGCCCGTAAGCATGATGCCGGCAAGCAAGGACAAACAGAGACAGAGACACACAGGGTCCTTAAGGGAATTGATCAGTGGATAAATTTGGGTCTGAGGCCAGACCACCCTGTCCCTGTCTGAATAAGGACCCACCATTTGCAGTTCATGAGTCCTGCCTAAAACACTTTTACTTCCATGTTGCCTCAGGAGACACCCCTCTGAGGTCTGGGTTTGAAGGGGTCTGGGAAGAAAGGCCTCAAGGGCTCCAGGCAACGTCTGGAACATTCTCCAGCCCCGTGATGCCCACAGTGCCAGCCCCAGGGCAGGCTCCTGAGCCAGGGAACCCACAAGGACGCCCTTCATCCAGGCCTTCCTCCCCGTTAGTGAACGTGCAGACGTGAAAGCCTCTTCCTAGTTGTCGGAGAGTGAAGGGCCGCGTGACCTTCCCGCCCCATGTGGAGGGCACCCCTTCCGACTTACGCAGGCTGCTTCGCGCACTTGCTCGCACAGGCGCTTGGCCGGGATCAGGAAATCCAGGAGGAAGCTCAGCCCATCCCCCTGGAAGTCAGAGTCCAGGAGACGGAACACCTGCCCCAGGACAGTGGGCGCTGTGGCCTCGAAAGGCGGGTAGAGGCCTGCCAGGGCATTCTGAATGGCTGTGTCCAGGGACGCGGGGTCCTGCAGGGGACAGGAGAAGAGGGTGAAAAGTGACAGTAGCAGTAACAACAAGGCTGGTGGCCACATCCCATGACCTTCCGGGCCCCATGTGATTAAGGCTCTGCTAACTCTCTGACCTCCTCTCCTGCTCCTTCCCCTCGCTCACCTCCTCCAGCCACATTGGCTTTCTCTCCTGTTCCTTCAACACCCCAGGCACAATCCCACCGCAGGGCCTTTGCACTGGCTGTTCCTTCCACCTACAATACTCTTCCTCAAGACATCAGCATTCCCTCACTCCCTGCAGGTCTTGGCTCAAATGTCATTCTCTGGTCCAAGGTGGAGAGGAAAATGAAGGAAGGCATCCAGGTCAGGGATAGAGGGCAAGGGAGGTCAGCATCCCCGAATCCCACCACCTGGCTGACCTGCAGACCTGCAGCTACCAGCGATGCTGATCTTACATCAGACAAGCCCCAGTCAGCATGAAGTGTCTGGGCAATAATGAGTGGTGGCTGTTTTCACCACTGAGTTTTGGGGCAGTTTGTTACACGGCAATAACTGACCGATACAAATCAATATAAGTGATCTGTGAGCTCCAGACTCATCTAGCCAGCTGCTTTCTGGATACCTCCCCCAGACATCTATTAGGCACAGGCCACCAACAGATCAGACCCAAGCCAGTACCTCCCTAATCCTACTTCCCCCCCGACATCCCTACATCAGTCATGGCCCCACCATCCAGTTGACTGCTAGGCCAAGAAATCTGCTCCTAATGCTGCCCCCTCCTCCCGCCTCCCCTGCCCACAAACAACCCCCAGCCATGGGCTATGCAGTCTGCTTGCCTGCAACAGCTCACGGACATACTCGCTCTGCTCTGTGCTGCTCCCTGCCCCCACCTGCCCCAGGTCCCCACATCCGTCCCACTGAATCGCCTCCTCATTGACTTCCGACCTCTGGCCAGCCTCACTCCCAGCCGTTCTCCCCCAGCACCCAGAGTAACCTTTCCCAAATGCAGACACCACCCCCTCCATCTCCTGCCCCAAACCTGAAAGGCTCCCCAACCCACTGCCTTCAGAAAGCGTCGGCCTCCGGGCCCCCCGTGGCCTCCGGGCACCCAGGCCCCCCCATGGCCTCGCCACTGTGCAGCTCCGCGGTCTCACCCCAGCCCCGCTGCCTCTCTCGTGCTTCTGCCGCAACGACTCGCGCATTCTCTCAGTCGGTCAGCTCTGGGCCTTTGCACAAGCCGCTCCTCCACCGAGGACGCCTTCCACTTTCATACCCTCTCCATCTGGCCGGCTCCTTCTCGTTCTTCAGGATTCAGGCCAGCCCTCGTCGCTTCCCCGAGATTTCCTCTGACCTCCCTCTCCCTACCTCCCTGGGTCACGTGTCCCCTTTTCTGGGCTTCAGGGGTGTCCCTGTCATAGCGGCTTCCACGCTGATTGCTGTCTCCCCCAGTGGACCCCAGGCTCCCCGAGGACAGGAATGGTAAGCAGAATAACGGTCCCCAAAGATGCCCATACCCTAATCCCTGGAACCTGAGAACGCGATACTTTACATCGCAAAGAGGAATCAATGTTGCAGATGAAATAAAGGTTGATGATCAGCTGGCCTGAAATAGGGAGGTTATCCTGGATTATCCAGGCAAGCTCCGTCACAAGGGCCCTGAAAAGTGCAAGAAGGTGCAGACAACGCAAGAGTGGGCGGGGAACACGGCTGTGGAAGGAGGATCCGAGCGATGAGAAGCCGCTGGCATTGAAAACGGAGGAAGAGCCAAGGCATGCGGTGGGCTCTCAGAGGCTGAAAAACAAGCAAACACTCTCTCCTGGGGTCTCCGGGAAAGAATGCAGCCTGCCAACACCTTGACGTGAGCCCGGCGAGACCCAGGTTGGACGTGTGCTGCGTAGGGCTGCAAGATAATTGCTTCGCGCGGCTTTAAGTTGCCGGGTTTGTGATCGTCGGCAGCAACAGAAACGGACACGGCAGGCACTGGCCCCTGTCCCTCTAGGGTCTTCAGTCCCTGGCACAGAATAGGTGCTCAGCAAATGTGGAAAACTGAACAAAATGTGCCTGTCTCAAACACAGCTTTTCCATGTGTAACACAGGCAAGCGGGTCAAGGTCAGAGGTTTCAATTCCGATACAATAACAGAACCTATGGTGATGATTTTTAACTCCTAGGAAGCGTCATGGAGGCCATTCTGGTTGCCGCAGACTGGCTGCGGGCTCTGAGTCCACCAATCCCTGAGGAATGTAAGGGAAGAGGAGAATAAATAAGAACCCTCATTTACATAATGGAGGCCCCTGGAGACAGGGAAATAAGACGGAAGCGCTGGAGGAGGAGGAAGGTGGCATTTCTCAACCCCAGCAAGATTCTAATGCCAGGAAGCTACAGAACAGGGGGTGTGAGCCCAGGGCACTTAGACAAATGCCAGTGTCCCTGCAGCGTCTTTAGTACCGAAACAGTGCTGGGCACCGGGCGGCCCCCACGCCTGTTTGTGGAATGCTCGGATGGATGCCCACAGCCCCCTCTGAAGGAAAGAGGGGCTGGCACTGTCTCGGTGGGGGGCTCAGAGGGACGGTGTACCAGAGGCCCCTGATGTCGAGAGAGCGCTGCCCCCGAGGGCCTCGTTTCAATTCACACTGAGGTGGGGGAGGGTCTTCACGTCGTTAGACCGGTTGGCTCATCTGGCCTGGTACCCTCTTTCAATGCCTCCCCCCAGCAAGGCTAGACCCCAAGAGTTATTTACCCCCTGCCCATGCAGTCCCAATGATAGCAGTGGTAGCAGGGAGTCAGAGGACACTGTCTGGCACCTGCAAACACACACACGCTGAGTCAGTTCAGACATGCTGAGTCAGTTCCACTGGCAGCCCTCCCCGGCCACGCCCAGCTTTTCCTGGGGCATCGGTCCCCTGGGGTCCCCTCCACTGTGCCCCCTCGGGCGGGTGCCTCCCTTCTCTGGGCCTCTTTCCCTGTGGGCATGTGGAGGTGGCCTGAGTTTGTTTCATTTTGTTTTGGGAAATTTAGCCATTCGCTGCCCCCTGTGTGAATTTTAACGTATCTTAGCATCATCTGTACTATTAGCACTTGCTGTTTTTCTTCAAGTCCACTCAGCTTTTTAAAGACTTAGACAATTGCATTTTAAAGGGAGACTCTCTGTCACCATACCGGTTGTGAGAAGGCAGCCTGATTGCCCAAGTTCAAGTTCTGTCTCTGCCACTGACTAATTATGTGACGTGGCAAATTACTTAACACTTGTCTGCCTCAGTTTTCTCATTGATAATACTGGAGGTTGTAATCGTACCTGCCTTAAAGAGTTCAGGGAGATTCAGTGATACAATAAATGTAAATTATCTGCATGGGGCTACCATTTAATAAGCTCTCATTAAGCAAGAGCCTTCACTGCTATTTTTTTGTTCGTATTATAGTTACTATTATATCACCACTTTAAACTGAAAAATCAATACCAACTGGCATAAAACTCCAAAAATAAACCAGCGATGCATTGGGTGGTTTTCATACTATTTTATTTATATAAGTATATTTACATTTATTATTATCGTAGCTATAGTATATATCTTATATAATCATATATTTATATAAATAAGATAATAAAACTAAATAATAAATATCCATTTCTCATATAAAATATTTTATTTTACTGCTCTACTTCTATAAAAATAAACTATTTTTAATAGAACAAGTAAGTAATGAACGTAAACACTGCTATTAAGTTCTAGAGACAGCGGGTCACCTCCTGAAGGCTGAACGAGCTTTCTCCCTTTCTTCTAGAAAAAACATTGCCCCGCGTTTGGAAGGTGTTCAAGGCACCTCACCACGGAAGGCAGCCTCCTCCCTGGGCCTAGAAGACCAGAGGAGAGTTCAGAAGGGACCGACCCTCTCTCGCCATTTGATTTCGTGTTATCTAGCTCCAGTCTGGGGCACCCTGTGCCCCTGCTGCGGTCTGCATCCCAGCCTCGGGGAGCAGGGAGCTAAACTCCCTCTTCCTCGGGGGGCTACAGCCCCCCGACCTGCGAATGGGGTTCCAGTCCCTGTCCTGTCTCGCTCAGAGGTGCACCTGCAGACACGAGGAGAGAACAGACGCAGGAGACCTTGGGAGAAGCAAAAGGTGTTGCTGTTATTGTTATTAATTATTTCTTTTTACCCATCCTGTCAGACAAAGCTCGAGTCCCAGCCTGTGTGTAGAGACACCGTCCCCCTCTTGGCCCCTTCCGCTCACTGTCACCCCAAGAACAACAACAGTTTCCGCTCACTGTCACCCCAAGAACAACAACAGTTTCCAGAACTGTCACCCCAAGAACAACAACAGTTTCCAGAACTGTCACTCCAAGAAGAACAACGGTCTCCAGACGCCCAGGATGCACCAGGCCCTCCACGCCTACTCACTGGCTTCGCCACCCAAGGATCTCAGGGGCTGAAGCAGGCACATCCCACTCTGCAGATAAAGAAACTGAGGCTGATTCTGCCTGAGTTCCCCGAGAGAAGACAGAGCCAGAATCCAACCCGAGTCCGGATTGGCTGAGTCTGCCCCCTCCTCTGGGCCCTTTGTGCCTGGTCTGTCTTGCGGCCACCAGCGGCCACCAGCGGCCACCAGCCTTGGCAGGGGTCTGTCTCCTGCCGTTTCGAGTGGGGCCTAAAAAAGCTGTTTACCTCTCACAGACCGAGGCTCACAGGCTGGGACGCCCTTGGCTTTCACAGATCGGCTCAACTGCCGGCACACACGGTAACCATTGAAGGGGCAGCCAGGAACAAGAAAGAGTGTTCCAAGTTAACAGGACTCTGAGCTCTTGGCCAGCACATTACCTGCTACAGGCCTGAACCCCGGGGGCTCATGAGCTGTCCAAGCGTTGGGGGGAAGCGCCGTGAAGGGGGCCAGGCGGCTGCAGGAAGGAAAGCTGGCGACTCTCCATTTACAATCAACCTGGCAGCCCAGCCCGGGACCACAAGAACCCAAACACCGTCGGCCAGACGTGGGCCCCTCAAAATGATTTCCATGAAACTTAATCG